CCTCCCTCTCTCTCCCCCCCTCCCTCCCTCTCTCTTTCTCTCTGTCTATCTATCTATCTATCTAATTCTATCTCTCTATCCCCCTCTCTCTCCTTCTCTCCCTAATTCTTCCTTATTAGAGACCGCTAGAAAAGACAAGGGTGATAATGCAAGTTACACCTCAGTAATATAAAGTAATGTGTCCCATATATCACTTATGAAATTGATATCAGACATGTAATATTTCTGAGATTATATATTGATGTAAACACTGCATTTTTTTTTCCTTTCTTTCTTTCTTTTTTGATTGATATAAAACATGCATCAGAAGTGCTAAATCATCCAGTAAGGGATTATTCTCCTGTTTGAATTTCAGAATGTGCTGAAATGCTAAAAATGAATAATGGAAAAGAAACAAATACACATTTCCATGAATTTTATAAAGATTCTTCGTCATCTGCTACTTCTGTTGCTATTGACCAACATTTTACAAATTACTCATGTGCGTATTACATGGTTCCTCATGTGGATTCTGTCCCATCTAACTCAAAAGGATATCCTGCAGATGTAATACATGACCTGTCGTGGAATCTACAATCAGAAAGTGTTCAGAATAATCATTCTACATCTTTTGGTAGACCTGGTGATGCCAGAGTGTATCAGTCTGTAAATCCAAAACAGTGCCAATATAAACTAGGGGAACCTTTTGACATACCAATAATAGACCATGATCAGGAAGAAACAGACAAAGATAGATTTGATAAAGATCAGAATCTGAAAATACCAGAGAGGGGCCCTTGCCAGGACCAGTATGCACTGCTTGTAACTCCACCAAGCAATTCCACATCAGGTGAAGCACATGGGCTAAACCAAAATGACCACACCCCAGTAACTGCCTGGTCTTCCCAGAAGAAATTACCATTACAAACTACATTCTTCCTTCAGCCTCAACAATCATCACTTTATGACTCAACTGCAATTGTCATAACATCATCAAAAGAGATACCAAACACTAATCAGGCAGCTTACAGAAACAGTGCAGACATTCAGAATTTTCTTTGGCAGCCAGGTAAGCCTCAGTGTGAAACTCATATTTGTTTTCCATCTCCATCACCTGTATCAACTACAGGAGATCAAAGGAATACAAACACTCATGCAATTTCACCTTCAAGTTATGTTAATGCAGGTGGAATCAGTAAGAATGCTGGTGGATGTACTGTGACAGATGTTGATCAATGTGGGCAAACAAGTAAAAAACAAGAATCAAATAGAGAAGGTAAGAATCAGATATTTTATATGTACACACATGCACACACACACATGCACACACACACACACACACACACACNAAGGAATCCTACTTCACTAAAGGAATCCTACTTCACTTAAGGAATCCTACTTCACTAAAGGAATCCTACTTCACTAAAGGACTTCACTAGGATCCACTAAAGGAATCCTACTTCACTAAGGAATCCGACTTCACTAAAGGAAGACTTCACTAAGGAATCCTACTTCACTAAAGAATCCGACTTCTAAAGGAAATCACTAAAGGAATCTACTCACTAAGGAACTTCACTTAAGGAATCCTACTTCACTAAAGGAATCCGACTTCACTAAAGGAATCCGACTTCACTAAAGAATCTACTTCACAATCCTACTTCACTAAAGGAATACTTACTTAAGAATCCTACTTCACTAAGAGGAATCCTACTCACTAAGGAATCCGACTTTAAGGAATCCTACTTCACTAAAATCGAGGAATCCTCACTAAAGGAATCCTTCACTTAAGGAATCCTACTTCACTAAAGGAACCTACTTCACTTAGGAATCCTACTTCACTTAAGGAATCCTACTTCACTTAAGGAATCCTACTTCACTAAAGGAATCCGACTTCACTTAAGGAATCACTAAAGAACTTCACTTAAGGAATCCTACTTCACTAAGGAATCCGACTTCACTAAAAAACTTAAATCCTACTTCACTAAGGAACTTCACCTACTCACTTAAGGAATCCGACTTCACTAAGGAATCCGACTTCACTAAAGGAATCCTACTTCACTAAGGAATCTTCACTAAAGAATCCGACTTCACTTAAGGAATCCTACTTCTAAGGAAACTTCACTAAGGAATACTTCACTAAAGAATCCTCTTCACTAAAGGAATCCTACTTCACTAGAATCCTACTTCACTATCCGATTCACTAAAGGAATCCTACCAAGGAATCCTTCACTAAAGGAATCCTACTTCACTAAAGGAATCCGGAATCCACTTCACTAAAGGAATCGACTTAAGGAATCCGACTTCACTAAAGGAATCCTACTTCACTAAGGAATCGACTTTAAAGGAATCCTACTTCACTAAAGGAATCCTTACTAAGGATCGACTTCACTTAAGGAATCCTACTTCACTAAAGGAATCACTTCACTAAAGGAATCCTACTTCACTAAGAATCCTTCACTAAAGGAATCCGACTTCACTAAAGGAATCCTACTTCACTTAAGGAATCCTACTTCCTAAGGAATCCACTTCACTAAAGGAAATCACTAAGGAAATCCACTTCACTAAAGGAATCCTACTTAAAGGAATCCTACTTCACTTAAGGAAGCGAATCCGACTTCACTAAAGGAATCCTACTTCACTAAAAGAATCCGACTTCACTAAAGAAACTTCACTAAGGAATCCTACTTCACTTAAAGGAATCCTACTTCACTTAAGGAATCGACTTCACTAAAGGAATCCTACTTCACTAAAGGAATTCACTAAAGGAATCCCTTCAGGACTTCACTTAAGGAATCCTACTTCACTTAAGGAATCCTACTTCACTTAAGGAATCTACTTCACTTAAGGAATCCTACTTCACTTAAGGAATCCTACTTCACTTAAAGGAATCCGACTTCACTAAAGGAATCCTACTTCACTTAAGGTAAAGAATCCGACTTCACTTAAGGAAGAAGATCCTACTTCACTTAAGGACTTCACTAAAGGAACTTCCTACTTCACTTAAAGGAATCCTACTTCACTAAGGAATACTTCACTAAAGGAATCCACTTCCACTAAAGGAATCCTACTTCACTAAAGGACTTCACTTAAGGAATCCACTTCACTTAAGGAATCCTACTTCACTAAAGGAATCCTACTTCACTTAAGGAATCTAACTTCACTAGGAATCTACTTTAAGGAATCCGACTTAAGGAATTCACTAAGGAATCTACACTAAAGGATTCCGACTTCACTAAAGGAATCCTACTTCACTAAAGAATCCGAGACTTAAAATCCTACTTCACTAAAGGAATCCAACTTCACTAAAGGAATACTTCACTTAAGGAATCCTACTTCACTTAAAGGAATCCTACTTCACTTAAGGAATCCTACTCACTTAAGGAGGATCCTACTTCACTAAGGAATCCGACTTCACTTAAGGAATCCTACTTCACTAAAGGATCACTTCACTAAAGGAATCCTACTTCACTAAAGAATCCTACTTCACTTAAGAAATACTTCACTTAAGGAATCCTACTTCACTTAAGGAATCCTACTTCACTTAAGGAATCCTACTTCACTTTCCTACTTCACTAAGGAATCCTACTTCACTTAAGGAATCCCCTTCACTTAAGGAATCCGTACTTCACTTAAGGAATCCTACTTCACTAAAGGAACTTCAATAAAGGAATCCCAATTCACTTAAGGAATCCTACTTCACTAAAGGAATCCGACTTCACTAAAGGAATCCGACTTCACTAAAGGAATCCTACTTCACTAAAGGAATCCTACTTCACTTAAGGATCCTACTTCATCCTTTACTTAAGGATCTTACTTCCTTAAGGAATCCTGACTTCAGCTTAAGGAATCTACTTCCACTAAGAGGATCCTCTTCACTTAGGAATCCGCTTCAGCCAGAAGGAATCCTTTTAAGAATCCTTACTTCATTAAGGATCAACTTCACTAAGGAATCCTATTCACTTAGTAATCGACTTACTAAGGGAATCGCTTCACTAAGGGGAATCCTACTTACTTAAGGAATTCGACTTTCACTAAAGGATTCCTCTTAACTGTAGGGATCCGACACGACTTAAGGAATCTACCTCTCACTAAACGCGCCTCCCCCCACCTTCACTAACAGGCTCTACCTTCAACTTAAGAATCCCTACTATCACTTCAGCGGAATCTACCTTTCCATCTACACGCACTACTACTCCTCAGCCTTAAGGAATCCATACCTTCACTTACCGGAATCCGGACTTCTCACTGAAGGCATGTTACTTCACTAAGAGGATTACCGGTGGGACCATTCACCTAAAGGAATCCCGGATTCGTGCTACAAGGAGCACTTCCATTACTTTCACTAACAGGCCGATCTACTTTCACGTAAGGAATCCTACTTCACTAAAGGATCCTACTTCCTTAGGATTGGCCCTCTTCACTCGTAAGTGAATTCCGACTTCACTAAGGATGCTACTTCACTTAAAGGGATCCGACTTCACTAAGGGAATCCTACTTCACGTAAGGAATGCCTTTACTTCACTAAAGGAATCCGGACTTCACCTAAAGGAATCCGTACTTCCTAAAGGAATCCTCCTTCATAAAGGCTCCTACTTCACGTCTTAAGGGAATCTCCTTCGTAAAGGATCTACTTCACTTCAAGGAATCCACTTCACTTAGAAATCCGATGTTCATTAAGGCATCCTACTTCACTTAAGGAATACTACTTCTAAGGATCCTACTTCCAGCTTAAGGAATCCGACTTCAATTAAGGAATCCGACTTCACTAAAGGAATCCTACTTCACTTAGGAATTTCCGACTTCACTAAAGAATCTTACTTCATGAAGGGGAATCTTACTTCACTTTAAGGATCGACTTCACTTAACGGAATCCTTACTTCACTTAAGGATCCTACTTTCAGTAAGGAATCCGGACTTTCACTAAGGAATTCCTACTTTCATCTAAGGAATCCAATTCACTAAAGGAATCCTAGCTTCCTTAAGGACTCCGATTCCTAAAGGCATCCGACTTCCACTAAAGGAATCCGTACTTCCTTAAGAATCCGACTTCACTTAAGGAATCCGACTTCACTAAGGGATCCTAATTCACTAAAGGAATCCATTCACGTAAAGGATACGTACTTCACTTAGGAATCCGACGTTCACTAAAGGAATCCGACTTCAGCTAAAGGATCCTACTTTTCACTTAGGAATCCGACTTCACTTAGGAATTCCGACTTTCACTAAAAGGGATCCTTACTTCACTAAAGGAATCCCAATTCACTAAAGGATTCCTATTCACTAAGGATCGACTTCACTAAAGGAATTCGACTTCACTAAAGAATTCCTACTTCACTTAAGGAATCCGGACTTCACTTAAGGAATTTCGATTTCACTTAAGGAATCTACTTCTGAACAGATTCCAATTCCTAAAGGATCCTACTTCACTTAAGGAATCCGACTTCACTAAAGGAATCCAACTTCACTAAAGGAATCCTACTTCACTTAAGGAATCCGACTTCACTTAAGGGAATCCGACTTCACTAAAGGATCCTACTTCCTAAAGGAATCCCATTCACTTTAAAGGAAGTGCCTTACTTCACTTTAAGGATCGGCTCTCACCTAAGCGAATCGGACTTCACTAAGGGACCTCCTACTTCTACGGATCCGACTTCCCTACAAGGAATCTCTCTCTCTTCCGGAACTCTCTCTCTCTGTGTGAAGGATCCTACTTAGAGGAAATCCATATTCCTTAAGAGTTTCTGCCTACTTCACTAAAAGGCGTGCTCAAAGCATCTTCACTAAAGGACTCGCCTCTCAAAGTTCAAGGCCTCTCCTTCACCTAAAGGCAATCCTACTTCCTTAGGAATTTCTCCTTAAGATCCCTACTCTCATCGTAAGGATCCTATTCACCTTAAGGCAATCGCCTACTCTTCCACCTCAAAGGAACTTTCCCTACTTCACCCTCTATAGATTTGGGGCCAGTAATGAGTCTGTCGTGTTCCTCAGGAAATCCTTACATATTCAAGCTTAAGGAATCGACTCTCACCTAGAGGAATCCGACTTCACTATAATACGGACTCCNGAGAGGGAGCGCAGAGAGACAAGACAGAGAGAGGCTTGAGCGAAGAGAGGGGCAGGAGAGAGAAAGAGGGAGCTGAGAGAGTGCAGAGAAGAAGAGAGAGACGGAGAGCGAGAGAGACATAGACAGAGGAGGGTGAGCTGAGAGAGGAGACATAGACAGAGATGATGGGAGCGAAGAGACGATGAGAGAGAGAGGAGCTGGCATGAAAGAAGACAGAGGGGAGAGAGAGAGGGAGCGAGAGGACAGAGGAATGAGAGTGAGAGGAGGCGAGAAGAGACATCCCAGACAGAGAGAGGAGCGAGAGAGACAGAGACGAGAAAGAGAGGGAGCAGTGTGAGAGAGACAGAGAGAGAGAGGGAGCTATAGAGAGAGACAGGAAGACGAGAGAGGGAGCCGAGGAGCTGAGAGACATAGACAGAGAGAGGGAGCGAGAGAGACCATACGACAAGGACCGGAGAACGAGAGAGACAAGAGAGAAGAGAGGGAGCGAGAACGAGACAGAGACGAGAGGAGAGGGAGCGAAGGAGAATCAGAGAGAGAGAGAGAGAGACCTGAGAGGGTGAAGACAGGAGAGAGAAGAAGAGGGAGCGAGTGAGGACTAGACAGAGAAGTTGAGGGGAGGCGAGAATACAGAGAGGGAGAGAGAGGGGAGCGAGAGAGAAATAGACCAGAGACGAGGAGCTAGAGAGACCCAGAGACGACCATAGAAGAGAACGAAGGTGTGGGCGAGCCGAAGAGGAAGACGCGATAGCCAGAGATGAGGATTAGAGCACGAAAGACAGAGACGAGGAGAGGGAGCGAGAGAGACATAGACAGAGAGAGAGGGGAGGCGAGAGAAATGGAAGACACGTTCAGCAAGAGAGAGGGGAGGGCAAGCGAGAGGAGCAGAGACATAGACAGAGAGACAGGAGCGAGAGAGACAGACAGAGAAGAGGAGACGAGAGAAGAGAGAACAAAGCACAGAGAGAGGGAGAGGCGAGAACGAGGACAGGAGAGAGCGAGACGAGAGGCGACGAGACGAACCACTGAGAGCGAGGAGCAGGAACAGAGAGAGAGAGAGAGAGGAGGCGAAGGAGAGAGACAGAGGAAGCGAGAGAGAGCGGAGAGCGAGAAGTTCCCAGGACCCAGAGAGAGGGAGCGAGAGAGGACAAAGGACAGAGAGAGCCAGTGAGCCGGAGAGAACAGGACCACAGAGGAGAGGAGAGAGAGAGCGAGGAAATCGGAGCAGCACGGTAGAGAGGCGACAGAGAGAGGGCGGGGGGCGAGCGGAGGACGAACATAGACAGAGAGAGAGAGCGGCGAGAGAACACTAGACGATGAGAGGGAGACGAGAGAACATAGACAGAGAGAGATAGGGAGCGAGGCCGGGAGAGATAGACATAGGCAGAGGAGAGGCGGAGCGGAGAAAACAGAGAAGCAGGAGATGAGAACGGGAGCGAGAGAGCAAGAGAGAGCGA